AATAGGCGAAACACTGCTACTAGAGATTTACTAAAGAAGGTTAAATAATATGGTAAGATGGTAATCATGTACTGATCAAAAACAATTTAAAACAGCATTTGTGCAATATACACATATATACAGTTAAAAGGAGTTCAACTATAAAATAAATACATGATAAATAATTTATTAAAATAGAAACAGGAGCCATTTTAGCAATAGTTCACGTATAAATACTTGAACTGAAAATTGGCGAGACTGTCTTTTCTAAATCAGAAGTCACTGGAGCTTTATAAAACTTCAAAACCACTGTATGTGAAACCAGAATGGTTACTCACTGTTTAACAAAATCAATAGCAAGCTTCTGAACAGAATTTGGAGAAAGCAAACATTTGTTTAAAACAAACAACACCAAACAAGTTATATAATAGGGTGGGCAACTAATTATTTTCTTGCAAATGTAGGAGAGATGCTTAGGATTCTCCAGTGGCTATCATTAATTGAGATCTTAGTAAGTGCAAGATAAGAAAGTTTACCAATTTGAGGTCAACAGCAACATCATCTTTGAACCAGTTAATCTTTAAAAGTGCAAAGGATAAGAGTTTAATGTAATTGAGACACACTAGTCAACTATTTTCATGCATCACAGTCCAGCTAACTATGCTACCAGACTAACTTTCCAACCCACACATCAAAATAAGCAGTTACAATGATGTTATCAAGGTGAAATTCACAAAATTAAACAAACTGTAAGAGGCTGCCAGAATATTTATCCTTTGCTGAAAGAATTTCTCTGGCTTGAGAAGACATAAAACATACGTGTGGAGGGGGAAATGTCGCAGTCACGATTGAACCACAGGCGTCTTTTACACAGCCACCAAGAATTTAATTGACTTTCAAGCCATAAGAAAGGAGTTTTCATGCCACACAGTAGCAAGAACGAATGCTTTGGAGACTTTGAAGATCAACTAGATTAGTGGGTTTATCTTATTTTCACTCATAACATTAACGTTTATGCTAGATTTTCAAAATAATAAAGGTTCTGATTACAGATTTGAAACTGATGAAAAACACTATTGATTCTGACATCCTAAGTATGCAGTACTTATCATTTTTGGTATATTTAATACTTCCATTTAATAAACAGTATGTTGAAATTATCGGTACAACACGTTGCAGATATGCCACTGGAAGTGGTCCTACTAGTTACTTTCTCTGATTTTGTCTGACTAATCAATTTATTTATTTTTACTTTTTTACGAAAAATCTTTAGAATAATAAACATATTTGTTAGCGGCCCGGCATGGCCAGGTGGTTAGGGCGCTCGACTCGCAATCTGAGGGTCGCGGGTTCGAATTCCCGTCCCACAAGTAATGCTCGCCCCTTCAGCCCTGGGGGCTTTATAATGTAACGGCCAATCCCACTATTCGTTCGTACAAGAGTAGCCCAAGAGTTGGCGGTGGATGGTGATGACTAGCTGCTTTCCCTCTAGTCTTACACTGCTAAATTAGGGACGGCTAGCGCAGATAGCCCTCGTGTAGCTTTGCGCGAAATTCAAAACAAACAAACATATTTGTTATATTAAAAATTCTCCGTGTTAAGACGAAGTTAGTTAATATATTTATTAATTGTGATTTTGTTTACAGCGATTCGGCCTTAGGTAATTACGAATGAAGATTTATGTTGTACTTGTTTAGACAAATTTCTCCTGCTGTGTGACACAAACATTCACACAATCAAAAACTTTGATCTGAATGTAGTTCGTATGGCATACCGAATCTGAAGAAGAAATCATTAATAACCGAAGCTACAGTTGTAGCTTCCTGATTTGGTATTGCATATGCCTCAGGCCACTTTGTGAAATAATCCATTACCACACAAATGTACTTGTTTCCTGCACGAGTTTGGGGCAAAGGACCAGCATTTCCATTGGTGTGCCTACTTGATATAACTTCATTGGAGCACATCACTTCTGCTTGGGTCCCCTTTTAGCACAACATGTACTGCACGTCCTTCACCATTCTTCCACATCTTATCTCATACCTATCCAGTAAAATCTCTGTCGTAGGTGACCCAATGTTTTCTTAACACCGAGATGTCCTCCTGTTAAACTATCATGGGATTGACGCAGCACAACTTCCCATAACTTTCTTGGTACAACCATTTGCCAGGTCGTCACTTTCCCATCTGCAGTTTCCCATCTCTGGACAAAAATACCATCTTCAAGCCTCAGCTGGTCCCATTGTGCCCAATAGTTATTTGTCACAGGGCTTAGACTAGACATCTTCTCAAAGCAGGGCGCAAAACACTTGCTTTTAGAAGGTCAATTATTGGCTTCATATCTTGGTCTTTCTCCTGTTCTGCTTTGATATCTATATTTGGTTCCACTTCACCATCATCATCTCCTTCAGTCACTTTGACTTCAGCTTGATGGCAACTGGTTAGTCAAACCTCTCCTTTAACACTTATCGGAATTTGGCCTATGTTGTTCCCAAACGTCATTTTATCAAAATTAATTACAACTTCTTCTGTAGTAAGTAGTCCAACCCTAATAAGCATTGGTCTTCAATGTCAGTCAAGTATACTTTGTGTCTGTCCTTCATGCCTATGAGCACAATAGTTACCCACACTGGTCCCCACAGCCTTGCAGAATGTCCTGTCACACCACAGAGCTTCTGTATGGCTTCTGGTACTCCTTTGTGATCTAAACCTTGATACTCACAAGGGTTTGCTGAGATGCAGAATCTATGATAAAGTTGCACTTTTGGCCATCCAGCTTTCCTGTCATGTAGACACTATATATGCTTGGCATTTTACACTTAGCTGTTGGGACTTTCACAATGGGGGTTGGTGGGCGTCCCTCAACACCAACCAGTACTGGTTTTCCAAAGCTGACTTATTGGTAGTGTTCTTCTTACACTGGCTCCTCATATGTCCTTGCTCTAATTACACAGAAACTATAAATGCTCACTTTATTCTCAAATAAATCTCCATGACAATCTCCAGCTGCAGCTTAACATTTACATCTCGAAATAATGCGATCAAATAGTCAATAGCTACAGTAAATCATCCAGCTGCAGCTTAACATTTTACATCTCGAAATAATGCGATCAAATAGTCAATAGCTACAGTAAATCATCATGAACCATATCATCTAGCTATTAGCTATGTTTGTTATCATTACAATGTATAAAGTTAACTAGCATATTAAGTTATCCTTTGCCCATAGTTGAGCATAAAAAAGCCAGCAACCAAGATAAATAAAAAAATTAGAAATTTAAAAATCTGCAAATTGATATCTTAAAAAAATGGAAGGAAACAAGGCTGAATATATTGTAGACACTATTTACTAAAACTACAAATCCCTATTTTGATTTCCCCAAATGTAATTATAGCTAACAGCATGGAGCCAAAATAGGGGTTTGTAGTCTGAATAAATAATGCCTACAGTATCTCCAGCCTTGTTTACTTACTTTTTTTACGATCCATGTTTGCAGGTTTCTAAATTCCCAATTTTTAATTTATCTTCTAACTTATGATAGACATAAATACAAGAAGACTCTTCATGGCTGCGTCAATTTGAGTTCTGCCTGTTTCAAAATTTCTCGTAAAGGTACACAAATGTCACGTACGAATTTTAATCCATAATTTCGAATTCATTCATTAGTGGGGATACAGCTAGTCGATAGTAACCTTCGCCAACACTTGGGTTACTGAAGACTGATCGAAATGTGGGGTTTGACCGTCACTTTTGTAACAAAGCCAAGACTTCAAAGTGCGGAGTATATTTTCATAGCAATAGGTCGGGAACCATGAATCCTCGTATTCTCACAATTCGGGTATGTTAACTACCTGACCACAGTCCATCCCGGTTCGAGATTAGATATCATTGTTTACTTAACCTTCTGTGATAAGATATAAATATACCTTTCAAAATATATCATATCTAAACTATATACAAATATTCAACACATTTTTTTTAAAGAAAGTAGCCCTACTTATACCTAACCAGAACAGATTAAACTTTTGTATAACAAATAATAATTATAACACTGTTGTCAGTCGTCTTTATACAGTCAATACTAATCTTCTCTTTCTCACTAAGGACACTGAATCTGATTATTTTTAAAGAATACGAGTTCTGCTTCAACGACATTTATCAGAATAACATGTATATATGGTATGAAATATCCTTTGGCCAGCTTTGCCGCTAAAACGTCTTCACGAGATAGACAAATATCAATAGAATTTGGAAGTAAGCACGACATAGCATAATAAAAAAAAACGTTTGAGTTGCATACTTGTTATCCTGAAGATACCCACTGCAAAATGGCGTAAAATCACTAACAATAGATTACCTTTATCTGTTTTCATATCGATATCCATGAGAGAAAAGAGGAGAAATATACCATTTGTCATGATATTTACGTGTAAAAGATACAATAATAATCCAGTTCAAATTAAAAGTTAAATTACTCATTATAAGACCATATAAGTACATTGGAGGACCAGAAAAATATCAAAATACTGATGTCTTTCATAATACAGTTGCTCTCCCCTTTTAGTTAAAGTATAATTTAACTATTTCATAACAAATATTAATATTACTTCCAGGAGGAATAAGAACAGTCTCCTAAGAATATAAGCAATATCTGTACTAGATTCTCAAATTTTAAATATAGAATAGATGCACTTTCTACCGAAGTGAATGATGTCAAATAATAAATCCAAAGGTTTACAAATCAGTTATATATTAATTTTTAAGTACCGGTTGTTTAGGATTATTTCTGGCATCGTTATCATTGTTAATAACTTGCACGACCACATGAGTTCGTTACTAATGTTTTTTATTTACTAGATTCTAATTATTAACTATTTTTTATATTACGTTTTTTCTGCTAATCTGTTAATGTGTTCGAAAACGTTTTGAGAAATAACGTGTTTCTATTTGTAGTGGTCAGGATTCAATCCTGGCTCTTTTTGGTAGAGATTTTTAAAAATGATTACATTGCACCTTATAGCCAAAAAAAAAGAGCAAAACTTGGAAGGTGTATCCACATCTCTCTAAATACTTTTCAGGTGTGTTTTTTTCCTAATAACTTCATGTTGAGCCAACCAGATGAACTGAAATACCATTTTCAAGTAAAATAGATTTTAAAAATACTACACAAGACTTATATCATCCGGCATGGTGTCTACTACATTTAGAAAAATAATCAAACAAAACTATGGAGATCACCCACTTGTTTTCTTTTTTCTGGGATTATAAATGGTCACAACGTAGAAATCACTCAATTTTTTACTGTACTTTCTGAACTAAAACACAGTTGATACAAGGAGATTACCCACGTGTTAACTAGTTGTAGGGTAATAATCAGTAGCATCATTGAAGACACGGAGAGGTTGTCAACTGCTGGGATAGCAACCAGTGGAAATATGTAGATCGCTTAAGTATTTACCAATTATGAATTAAGAAATAGTAGAGGCATGGAAATTAGGTTTTATAATGAATACAATTGGTGCGCTGCAATAGATACAGGATAAACTGTAAAACTGACATGATTTCTTACTACATGACATATACTATATTATTTTTGCCTAGCAAGGACAAATAGATAAAGTTCGCGAAGTAGGTTCCAGATCCTATCAAAAGCAGAATTTGGTCACATGTATCTTATGTACATTTAGCTATGGAGTTATTTTTGTAATAAACCGAGTAGTGTCATGTAAGTTTTCCTTGTTTTCTCTAGTTATCGAATATCTTGGCCCGCAACACAGGAGCTTTGTGACCCAACTTTCCACTATCCAGTGGGGCTTCGTAGGTGCTATCTTTCCCTGGCTAGCTTTCTGGCTTGGTGACTGGAAATGGTTGTCTATGGGCACTTCTGTATCCCTAATGGCCGTTGTCATGGTTACATGGTGTGTATTCAGTTTTGCTGTTATATTTGATACTCTGATGTCCAAGTGACCAGACTCTCCCATGAATTATGAAAGATTTAACGCCAACATATTCTATCTTAGCTTTATGATGGTTATTACAAAATTTTCTTGTTTTCAGTAATAATGATAATAATCCAAGTAAAGTAACTGAATTTGAAATATACCTTTATGATATACTTAGCTGGAAGAGGCTATTTTTTAATGTAGCTATATAGTTGTTAGATTTAAATTTGATGCAATGTAAGAGAATGAGTAAAACGAAAGATGAATGTGGCCAGGGGAAATTGAAACCTGTGTTATACTCAGGTGCACTGATTTCCATTAAAAGTAATCGGTAAGATTCAGCTGAACAGCAAGAGGTTCGACAGAATATGTAAATCCCAATTCTCTGACTTTGAGTCCGAATTTGAAACAATATTTCTTCATAAAACACAACCCAGTTTATGTTAAGAATGTGTATGAAAGACGACGCCTTTTTTCTGGAGCGTCCAGAGCTCTGTGTGAATAAACAAGAAACTTTGGAACTGTTCAAGTTCAAGAAAATATAAAATGAAATACAAAAAACAATAATGCTATTTTTGTCAGGACGCGTGCACTTTCATGTCATTGTTGGTCATTTCCCGCATGTATAAAGTCAAGGAACTACATGACCCGTCTATAGAAAAATCGCTTTCTACTTCTCTTATAGTGTGCTCACTTTCACAGAGATCTTCCTCACAAAAGGACGTACGTCATGTAAATGTGAATGACACAGGGCAAAATAAGCTTAGCTATTTCCATAATTTACTTACAGATATGAAAAATTGTGAACTGTTTCATGTTAAATAAAGTGGTAGAAAACGCGTTGTATACCTCCGTACTACAAACATAAAATGGTTTGGTGCAAGCATTATATTGAATTGTAGAAATCTAAAACCTCATTATTTTGCATATAATATGTGTACAGTTAATCTAATAATACTGCAGGTACTGGAAAATGAAAGATGACCTGCCCATATTTGAATATATGGCTAATCATACAATTATACTATAAATTAAAGTTTTGTTGTTATATATATTTTTTTTCGAAATACATAAGATATGGAGATGAGCTCCAGCAAACAATTCTTCCTTTAGAAGTTCGAAATAACTAATTGTATTACATATAACTAAATATAAACAAATAGATGGAATTATGAGCTAACTCTTTTAAAGTTTTCTATTTTCTGTTAATCTCACTGTTACGTATCTGCTTGTTTGATAATTTCCGGTATAAATTCTTTCCGAGGAACTTCAGCGATACAAGTCATTTCTTAATTAAAACTAATTTATTCTTTCTTGATACAACTTTTTAGTACACAGAATTTCCACAGTCACTTTAAACTTAACAACCTTTAAAACACACGCTATAAATCACAGTGATTCACAAACTTTACTTACGGTGTCTGCTGTTCGCTTGACTCAATTATCTCTATCTTCAATCTATCTGCATATCTCTGCAATCTATCTGTCTATATCGCTGGCTTTCTTTGCCAGGCTTATATACTAAAAAAGAGGGCGTCTTGCAAACAATGGGACATTCGCGGGATTCCCCGATAAGTCATGATCCTTATCAGAGATCCGAGAGTCTGTGCTAAAGGGGAGAGCCTGCAAGAGCTGGCACACGATTTGAAAAGCATGGCACACAAGGCCTACCTAACTGCACCACCCGATGTCCTCAAGTTGTTGCTGAGGGGTCAGTTTGTAGACGCCTTAGACAGTCCACAACTGAAGATACAAGTAAAGCAAGCACACCCTTCTACCATGCAGGATGCAATGGCCAAAGCTATTGAATTCGAATCCTACGTTAAGTCCAGTACAGAGGTACCAAGGTTGGTAGAGTCATCAGGATTCAAGTCCAGAAAGGGGCAGCTTTCAGAGAAGTATGAGGGACTTTGCTGGCACTGTAACAAACCTGGGCACAAGAGAGCTCAATGCCGGCAACTTCAAGACAGGGAAGATGCCACGGCAGGAAAGGCTGCTACCCAGAAAGGTTGTTGGAACTGCCCAAGCTTTCTATATATACATTGCATAGCAATGGACATACATATCATAGACTAAGACATAATGCTCACTAAGTTTGTACAAAATTTTACCAGTAGAAAAGCAAACTTTTCAAATAAAACATATACGTCTAAAACATCGCTTTAAATAAACATTCGTGTCTTTTAAAGTATTTTTTCGACGAATGTGTGTGTAATAAAATTTAATATTATGTGTATTTTTTTTTTTACTTCTTCACTTCGTACATAATATGGGGGTTGGCTCCCTAAAGACACTGATTGTACAGTGTACAAATCATTGAGTATATGCATGTTACAATCATTTAATGTTCATCTATTATTGGCTGGTAATTCCTGTTTCACCCTGTATTTAAGCTCTTTGAGGAACAACAAATACTTCTAAATATGCTAACTTGACGGGGTAATGATAACATCGTTTACATTAGAATTATGATGTCTTTTAAGTTATGTAAAATATAAAATAAACAAACCGACTTTTCAATACCCCCTACGACCATCGCAGTACCTTATTTAGTATTCTACAGAAGGTGTGGGTGCAATATACCAAGCCGTTTTTGTTCTAGGCTGGCAAGAAAATAATAATATGAAGAACAAGAATAATAATAATTAGAAACGGGTCGTTTGAGCGGATTTTCTTAAGACTAACATGCGTACGTTTTGAACATTTTTATGTGTACAACCTGTGGTTCATGATAGGGAGATGAAATACGAATAACTCAGGAAACAACTGGAAGTTATCGATAGATCTGTTTGGTAATTTCGGTGTAATTTTCCATCAGCGGATCTACAGAAAACACTCTCTGTTTAGAAGCAAAGTTTTCTCAGCCAATCAACCTTTTTAAAACGAGTTTATGTACTTGAATTAGTGGTATTTGACGTACGCATGGTAAGTAAATTCAGCTCATATCTATGTATAGCTCTGTTACGTTTCTGATATTCAGCCTGAAAATACCAGTGCTGCTACTTTTCTGCCATTCAGGTTGAAAATAATAGCGCTGTTACTTTTCTTCTAAATGCACTTTGTTTTTATTTTATTGTTATTTCGAATGAATGAACTTATTTTACTGTAGATGAATCAGTAGGTGTTTATTACAGAATAATATGGGTGAAATTCATTCCAAGGGGTTACTGCATTTTTTGAGTTGATGTTTAAGTATATTAGTTAATTCAGAAGGATAAGTATCGTTTCGTATTAAAAATAAAACATAAATTATAATTCAACTAATTTAACTCTTTTAAATGTTACCAAAATGGCATTTTATAATATTTTTTTTATTTTTCAAAAAATTGCGTCAATGCAATTTCCTTGCAATTAAGGTATGCACAGCACAAGTAGCCCATTGTATAGCTTCGTTCTTAACAACAAACTTATAGTTAAGTCTAATATCTTCGAAAATCCTAATCATATTTTAAAATAGGAGGAAAGATAAGCCTATTTGAATCGAAAACAATTGCAACATGAATGATGATAGTTTTTTGCGTTTTGTGATTTTGTTAAATTATGTTTACCGTATAAATATTAAAATTCCACAAGCTTATTTCAAATTTACTTTAGTCTTACATAATTTTATGTTTGCTTTTTGGTCCTTGGTCCTTACAATTTTAGTTTGATGATATACAGGTTCGACAGACAAGTGTCTTTCTAATGTCATTTAAATGTGGTATGTATGAAGATGAAAAAAAGAAATTTACATGCTAAGTTCTTCGTTAAAATATGGAGTTTAATGAACGTGATACTTCATCGTGTAGGTCTATTTTCACAAGGGATCTTTATCAGTATTTTTAGTTTGTTAACTATAACGTACATATTCATTAAAACGATCTATTTTCACAAGGGATCTTTATCAGTATTTTTAGTTTGATAACTATAACGTACATATTCATTAAAATGATCTATTTTCACAAGGGATCTTTATCAGTATTTTTAGTTTGATAACTATAACGTACATATTCATTAAAATGATCTATTTTCAC